CCATCAGTGTCAGAACTATCAGATAGGAAGAGGAGAGTCCCAATTTTCCTTGGAGTGAGAGCTGCCTTGCGACGAGGCATAGTGAACAAGGACAACTGAGCCGGCGTTCCCACAATGCTATGCAGGCGCCTAGATTTTTTGTTTATAGCGCACACCCACCACGCAGACCCGTTCTCTCACATGTAGGCCTATGAGCATTTTTGTGCTAAATTTGACAGCGCTAGAATTTTGGCGTAGATCTACGGTTTGGACACTCAACGTGAAGCTGTAGATCTACAGGACGGACCCTGATAGGGTTAAACAAAAATACCAACCACTCCAACACTATATCCCCCCCTGCTTTTAACACTTCTGTCCTGATCCCGTCAGTTCCAGCTGCTTTACCCCCTTTCATTCTACGTAATGCCTCATGCACCTCCCCCACACTCACATCCTGCTCTTCTTCACTCCTAAAAGATGTTATATCTCCCTGGCCAGTGCATAAAATTATCGCCTCCCTTTCTTCATCGACATTTAACAGTTCCTCAAAATATTCCTGCCATCTACCCAATACCTCCAGCTCCCCATCTACTAACTCCCTTACTGTTTTTAACTGTCAAATTCATTCGTTCCCTAGGTTTTCTTAACTTATTCATCTCACTCCAAAAATTTTGCTTATTTTCATCAAAATTTCTTGACAGTGCCCCTCCCATTCTATCATTTGCTCTCTCTCACCACCCTCTTCACCTTTCTTTTACTCTACATATACTCTGCTCTTCTTATAACACTTCTGCTTTGTAAAAACCTCCTATAAGCTATCTTTTTCTCTTTTATCACATCCTTTACTTTCCTCCTGCACCCACCCCACTATAACCACAAACTTCTGCCCCACATTCTAATACTGCATTTTTAAAACTATTCCAACCCTCTTCAAGCCCCCCACTACTCATATTTGCACTAGCCCACCTTTCTGCCAATAGTTGCTTATATCTCACCCTAACTTCCTCCTCCCTTAGTTTATATACTTTCACCTCTCTCTTACTTGCTGTTGGCATTTTCCTTTTGTCCCATCTACCTCTTACTCTAACTGTAGCTACGACTAAATAATGATCCGATATATCAGTTGCCCCTCTATAAACATGTACATCCTGAAGCCTACCCATCAAGCTTTTATCCACAAATACATAATCTAACAAACTACTTTCATTACGTGCTCTATCATACCTTGTATACTTATTTATCTTCTTTTTCATAAAATATGTATTACTTATTACCAAACCTCTTTCTACACATCGCTCAATTAAAGGTTCCTGATTTTCATTTACCCCTGGCACCCCAAATTTACCTACTACTCCCTCCACAACATTTTTACCCACTTTATCATTGAGATTCCCAACCACAAGTACTCTCTCACTAGGTTCAAAACTCCCACACACTCACTCAACATTCTCCAAAATCTCTCTCTCTCTCCTCTACACTTCTCTCTTCTCCAGGTGCATAAACATTTACTATAACTCACTTTTCACATCCAACCCTTATTTTACTCCACATGATCCTTAAATTTATACATTTATATTCCTTCTTTTCCTGCCATAACTTATCCTTCAACATTATTGCTACTCTTTCTTTAGCTCTAACTCTATTTGAAACCCCTGACCTAATCCTATTTATTTCTCCCCACTGAAACTCTACCACCCCCTTCAGCTTTGTTTCACTTCAAGCCAGGACATCCAGCTTCTTCTCATTCATAACATCCACAATCATCTCTTTCTTATCATCCGCACAACATCCACGCACATTCAAACATCCCACTTTGAAGGTTTTCTTCTTTTTCTTTTTAGTAGGCTATATGGGAAAAGGAATTACAGTACTAGCCTATTGTTCCCGGCATTTTAGTTGACTTTTACAACACACATGGCTTATGGAGGAAAGATTCTTATTTCACTTCCCCATGGATATAAAAGGAAAAGCAATAAGACCAAGAGCTATTATGACAAAATCAAAGAAAACTCAGATGAGTGTGTATACATGTGTACATGTATGTGTAGTGTGACCTAAATGTAAGTAGAAGTAGCAAGATGTACCTGAAATCTTGCATGTTTATAAGAAAGAAAAAAAGACACCAGTTATCCTACCATCTTGTAAAACAAATACAGGCTTCCTTTCTACACTCACTTGGCAGGATGGTAGTACCTCCCTGGGTGGTTGCTGTCTACCAACCTACTACTTACTTATGTAAAGTTATTAGCTTAAATTTACATGCAGAGGTAAAAAAAAAATGGTTAATACATATAGGAAGAGCAGTTAACCCTAGCTACCTTAAGGGAATACCATACATGAGTGGATTCTTTATCTGCCATTTCTGAGAACAGTATAGTAATAATAATATATTCTTATTTGTTATGACCAAGGTCATAATGAGATTAATTTATATGTATTATCCACTTAATTATACTCGGGGTTTCTTTAATATTAGCTAAATTAAAGATTCCACTAGTTTATAATATTATCTGATTTAGGAATATACCCAGGTATGATGTGTGTATATATATACAGTGGACCCCTGGTTAACGATATTTTTTCATTCCAGAAGTATGTTCAGGTGCCAGTATGACCGAATTTGTTCCCAAAAAGGAAATTTTGTAAGCAAATCCATTTCGCCCCCCAAACAACGGGTTTACAAATGCACTTACATAAATATTTTCATAATTGGTCGCTTGGGGAGGTGATCGTTAAGCGGGGGTCCACTGTAGTGTGTGTGTTGTGTGTGTTATATATATATATATTATTAAAATTTTAAATATTATATATAATAAAATTATATATATATTTTTATATATATATATATTTATTTTATATATTTTTTAATATATTATTATATATATATTATAATATTTATTATTATAATATTATTTTATTTTATTATTTTTATAATATTATTATATAAAATTTATTTTTATATTATATATTATTTATTATTATATTTAATATTTTTTAATTATATATATTTATATTTATATATATATTATATATTTATATTATAAATTATTAATATATTATTATAATATATAATATTATTATATATTTTTATATAAAATATATATATATATATATATATTATTATTTTTAATATTATATAATATTTTATATAATATATATTTTATATATATTATATTATATATTTATTTATATAATAATATTACATTATATATTATATATATAAATTATATAAATATATATTATATATATATATTATATATATAATACGGGGGTCCCCGTTTTCCCGTATTCCCCGGCAATCGTAAAATTCCCCATCATGGGGTTTTTGAAATAAACATGGACTGCTTTTCATAGGTTGACTCGTGAGTCGTAGTTGTCCAGGACGCGTCCCCACGGCGTGAGCCAGGGCGGCGCCAGCTGGCATTGTTTACCAGGGAGCAAAAGACCCTTCACGTGCCCCAGGGGAAATATTTCATAATTTTTCCATTTTTTTAGTGCTTGAAAGTATAAATAAGCACCATGGCTCCAAAGAAAGCTCCTGTGCCAAGCCTGTGGTAAAGAAGGTGAGAAATCGATTGAATTTAAGAAAACCATCTTTTGAACAATATGAAATGGTACAAGGTTTGCCAAAACTGCCCGGATTAAAAAAACCCTACAAAACCCCTTATTTCCCATGTGGCCAAAAAAATGAAATAAAGGAGCTGTTGTTGAAAAAGGGGGGTAACTATGCTGACAAAAATGGATCACCAGTAGTGGAAAGGTTGAAAAGTTTTTAGGGGTGGGGATAAATGAAAACAATTAGCGGGAAATACTCTTAGACTTCGTTTTATTTGTGAAAAGACTAGGGGTTGCATAAAAAATTTTGGTAAAGAAATTGCCTGCAAAAGTGGTGAAGTGAGTGAATTTTAAGGCCAGAAAGTGGTTTTTAGAGATTTTAAAAAGTACTGGCATACACTGTGGTAAGGCTGGTGAGGCTGCAGTTCGGACCACAAAAGGGGTGAAAAAAATTTTGCTGAATTCCGGAGTACATGGAGGCTGAAGGACTGAAACCGAAAAAAGTGTTCAAATTTTGATGAAACAGGCCTTTTGGAAGAAAATGCCAAAAAGGGACCTTCATTACACAAGAGGGAAAAGGCAAAAGCCAGGACACAAGCCTATGAAAGACAGGCTGACGCTAAAGTTTGTGCTAATGCTAGTGGGGGTTTCAAAGTGAAGCCATTACTAGTGTACCATTTGAAAATCCCCCGTGTTCGGAAAAAAAAATTTATGAAGAGTAAATTGTGTGGCTTTGGAAACTAAAAGTAAGGCAGGGTACGAGGGGGAAATTTTTTTCGAGTGGTTCAATGAAATGTTTGGCCCTAGTGTGAAAAGGGGTATCTCTTGGAAAAGAAAAAGGTCTCAAGTGCCTCTGTATTGGACAATGCACCTGCTCATCCTCCAAATTGGTCCTAAATTTTTGAGGAGTTTGGGTTCATCACGTAAAGTTTTGCCCCCGAATACCCCCCCTCTCCCCAACCCAGGACCAGAGGTTATTGCAAACTTAAAAAATCTACACAAAAGCAATTTTCACGGTGCTTGACTGTGACCACGACACTCACTTGACCCTAAGGGAATTTTGGAGAGAACACTTCAGCATCCCCATGATAACCCTTATAGGTATGGTTGGGGGGGAGTGACCAGGGCCCTTTTAAACCCGCCTGGAGAAAATTGTGGCCAATTGTGTCTACAAGAGGGATTTTGAAGAATTTGGGGCTGACCTAATGAGCTAGTTGTTGTAAAATCAAATGTGGCACGGGGGGTTCCATGAGGTTGGATGTGGTTTGGGGTTGTGGAAGAATTGGTGGAAGACCCAAGAAGAGTCACCACTGAGGAGCTGCAAGAGCTTCGCAGGAAAAGCAAACATCGCAGCTCAGAATCTTGCTGCAGAGGAGGAGGAAGAGAGATGGGAAAAAGGGGCTTTTCAGAAAATTTAAAAAGATTTTTACTATTGGAGTAAAAGGAAAACTTTATGGAGAACTCACCCTAAACGTTGGCCCGCCAGGTTGGAACATTACAGTGACAAAGTCTTGGGCCATTTTAGGGAAGTGTTAAAAAAAAACGCCAGAAACAGAGCTCTCTCCACAGTTATTTTTTGAGGGGCAGACCCAGTGACTCTCAAGGTGGTCCAGGGCATTTTGAAACAGAGAAGGAAAACAACCCCCAAAAAACAAATGGTATTGGGTGTTGATGGAAGGGGATTCCCCTTCCAAAATATAAACAATCCACTCTCCCCTCCTTTCCCCCAGTCTCCCATACATAAGAAAATCTCCCCTAAAGGTAAGTGTTTTTGCTGTTAATGTTTCATTCATCTTTTTCCCTTTTATTGTTTATGTACTACGGGATATTTCATGTTAAAAAAAATTTTTTTTTTTTAATATTTGGGGCAGGAACGGATTAATTGTTTTACATTATTTCTAAAGGGGAAAATTTATTTGTAAATCGTAAAAATTTTTTTTATTAACGGCCCAGGAACGGATTAATTTCGAAAAAAGGGACCATGTATATTTTTTTTTTTCAACAAGTTGGCCCTCTCCCACCGAGGCAGGTGACCCAAAAAAAAAAAAGAAAATCCCCAAAAAGAAAATACTTTCATCATTCAACACTTTCACCCCACTCACACATTATCACTGCTTTTGCAGAGGTGCTCAGAATACAACAGCTTAGAAGCATATACGTATAAAGATACACAACATATCCCTCCCAAACTGCCAATTATCCCCAAACCCCTCCTTTAAAGTGCAGGCATTGTATTTCCCCATTTCCAGGACTCAAGTCCGACTATATGAACATAACCCGGTTTCCCTGAATCCCTTCACTAAATATTACCCCTGCTCACACCCCAAAGAGATTGTCAGGTCCCAAGTATCATTCGCCTCCTTTTCACTCCTATCTAACACGCTCATGCACGCTTGCTGGAAGTCCAAGCCCCTAGCCCACAAAACCTCCTTTACCCCCTTTTTTCCAACCCTTTCGAGGACGACCCTACCCCTCCTTCCTTCCCCTATAGATTTATATGCTTTCCATGTCATTCTACTTTGATCCATTCTCTCTAAATACCAAACCACCTCAACAACCCCTCTTTCTGCCCTCTGACTAATGCTTTTATTAACTCCACGCCTTTTTCCTAATTTCCACACTCTGAAATTTCTGCATAATATTTACACACACATTGCCCTTAGACAGGACATCTCCACTGCCTCCTACCGTCTCCTCGCTGTGCATTTACCACCCAAGCTTCACATCCATATAAGAGTGTTGGTACTACATACTTTCATACATTCCCTTCTTTGCCTCCATAGATAACGTTTTTGACTCCACATATACCTGAACGCACCACTCAACTTTTTTCCCTCATCAATTCTATGATTAACCTCATCCTTTATAAATCCATTGCCGACACGTCAACTCCCAAGTATCTGAAAACATTCACTTCTTATATACTCCTCCTCCCCAAATTTTATATCCAATTTTTCTTTATCTAAATCATTTGAATACCCTCATCACGTACTCTTTTCTATGTTCACTTTCAAAATTTCTACCTTTACACACTTCTAAAACCTTAACCGAATTTTTTTTTAAAAACCCCATAAGCCATTCCCCAAAAAATAACTTGCAATTCCCAAAACCCAAAAAACCCCCCACCCCCCCCCCAACCCCCCCCCCCCCCAAAAAAAACAAAAAACCCCCCCAACCAACCCCAAACCCACACCAAACCCCCCCACAAACCCCCACCACCCCAAAAAAAACCAAAACCAAAAACACCCCCCCCCCCCTTTTGAAAACTCTGCCAAAAATGCTCTCATCCACTCTTCATAGCCTTTTCTAAATTCTTAAATGCAAAAAAAAATTCCCTCCTTTATCTAAATATGTTCAACTATGTTCAATGTAAACACTTGATCAAAACTCCCCTACCCACTCTGAACCTCACTGCTCACCGCAACCCCTACATTCGTCTTTCAAATTCTTTCAATTATAACCTACCGTATACTTTTCTTTTCTGAAAATTTTTTAAATTTTTACAATCTCTTTTGTCCCCTTTCCCTTTATTTAAAGGGATATACTCCTTTCCCCCACTAAACCTAGGTACCTTCCCCCCTTTCATAATTTTTTAAAAAAGTACCCCCACTCCAACACTATATCCCCCTGTTTTAACATTTTGCATGAAACCCCTCAGTTCCCGCTGCTATACCCCCTTTCTTCAATAATGCCTACTACCTCCACCACACTTTCATTTTGTTCTTCTTCACTCCTAAAAAATTTTGGTTATACCCCCCCCCGGCCAGTGCATGAAATTACCGCCTCCCCTTTTTTCTTAACATTTAAAAAAATTCCCGAAAAATTTCGCCCCTACCCAATACCTCCCCCCTTCCCCTTACACTCCCCTACATTTTTTTTAACTGACAAATCCTACTTTCCCTAGGCTTTCTTAAAATTGTTTAACTCACTCCAAAATTTTTTTTTTATTTTTCATTTTAAATTTCTTGACAGTGCCCTTTCCCCCTCTTTCATCTGCTTCCTTTTGCCTCTCTCACCCCCTTCTCTTCACCCTTTTTTTTACTCTCCATATACTTTCTCTTCTTATAAACTTTGCTTTGTAAAACCCCCTGTAAGCTCCTTTTTCTCTTTTATCACACCCTTTACTTCATATTCCCCAATCCCTCCTTTCCTCCGCCCCCACCCTCCATAACCCCAAACTTCTGCCCACATTCTAATACTGCATTTTTAAAACTATTAACCCCTCTTAAAACCCCCCCATACTCATCTTTGCATAGCCCACCTTTCTGCCAATAGTCGCTTATATTCCCCCTGAACTTCCTCCCCCCTTATTTATACATTTTCCCTCCCTTTCTTTTTGTTCCCAAACCTTCCTCTTTTCCCATCTACCTCTTCCTAACGTAGCTACAACTAAATAATGTCTGATATATCAGTTGCCCTTATAAACATGTACATCCTGGAGCCCCCATCAACCTTTTATCCCCCAATCATAATCTAACATATATATCAATCATTCATATTATATAATTATATTATATTATATATATATTATATATATTATTATATATATATATAATTAAAATATATATATATTAATATATATATATATAAATACATTATATATATATTTATATATCAACATACATACATACTACATACTACATATTTATGTATTTTTAGTAAAGTGTTGGGTGTTAGGTAAACTGGGGTAAAAGTTTAAACCAGGGTTTTCCCTTTGGGGGGTAGTTTGGTCTACTATTCCCCTCCCCCTTTTTGACGAGTTGATGTATGTAGGGGATTAATGTATTAATTTTGTTTGCTCTCTCTGCCCACTCAGTGTGCATTGATGAGTACCCCTCCAGTACTCCACCCATTCTCACTTGGATAAAGAATTGTGTTGTAGGAAACTCCTGAACCAGCTTGAGGGTTTATTCTGAAGTGAAGTCTGTGGACGTTATTACTGTTACCCTTTAGTTTACAATGTGAGGCCTGTGTCAGTTTTGAATTTAAGTGATATATTCCCTTTTGCCGGGAGTTATCAGTGAAGGTGTCCCTTCTCAATGTATCACTCGCTACAAGTAATGTCTTATTGAGGAAACAGAATTTTTCACATTAACAAGTGTAGTGAAAAAATTGACAGTTCCAGGATCTATGTGTACATTCTATTCAAGCGTTTTTTATGTGAATGAAAGTTTCTGACGAAGTAAATTTTTAAATAATATTTAGAATATCTAAAAGTATTTAGGTTTTTAAATAAAAAAAAACAGAAAAGATGAGTAACTTTACTTGTCCCTTACATTTCTAAGTTGGAAGTATTTTTCTCATTCTTAAAAGGTATTTTTATGGAGTGCACAACCTGGCTAAAGATTAAGATTCAATGTAACAAGTGGGGGGTGCCCGGGACTTTGAACTTCTTGACCAGGGATCGTGACATATCACATTTGGTGAAGGATTTGCTCCAGATCGCTAAAAGATTTTTACCCTAAAAACAATGCTGGCAAGTTGTAGATTTTTGGGAAGTTTCTTTAACAACTTTATATAGTGATACCCCCCCACCTATAATACGAACATATTGTTTTCTCGCCCTCTGACACGTCCCGGGGTTTGGGTTCACATGGCAAGACACCCTCGGAGGAATCTTTGTCTCTAGGAAAAGCTCATTTGGTGGCTTCTTTGAAGGCCTCACTTTGGGAGCAGGGCTAGTCTCGGGACAATGTGCCCCCTGATTCGTGTAATGAGACCCCATTGCTAGCCCTGGTCGTGAGGATGATGGAGATGGAGTGCCCCAAGCTTGCCTAGGGGATCACTCCTCCCCTCCTACAGTATTTTTGACTCCTATCTCACTCAAACCCTTTTTAACGTCTGGAAAATTTAAAAGTTCAAACGAGAACTGGAATCCCACCCCCTTGTGTATGAAGAAGGTTCGAGAGGGAAAACATAGTTCAGAGGCAAGAAAGGGGAAAAAGAGCAAGTCGTCCTCTACCCCAAACCCTTGCCCTTTGACCTGAAAGGGTGGGGCCTCATTAGTGCCCAGGTTCTGTGAAACAGATTTGGACCTTACTTCGACACTTTGAAAATCAAGCACGAGGGATGAGGGGCCTCATGAACATTGGGCTCCCTTACTTCACACCACACTTAAGGGTAAGGCTAAATCTGTACAGCAGCTCCCCCGTTGAAAAGTATGCAGATTACGAGGCAATTAAAAAGTCATTTTAAAGGATATGATTATTTCCCCATAAGTTATCACGTACCTTCGCTCTCTCTACGAAGACTACCCCCCCAAACCGGGTAGAATTTGCCCACAAAAAAAGGGTGGCTTAGAGTGATGGGAGGTTTGGTGTGTACAGGAGGTTTTGATACAGTTGATCTTACATGAAAAATTTCAGAACTCTTGGGGCGATGTACGTCCTTTGTCACTGAACACAAGACTGCAGATGTTTTGGGCCTCTGCTTCTCTAGCTAAAATTCGAGATAACCTCTAAAATTGAAAAAGGAAAAAGGGGTCTAGAGAGAAAGCAAGGTTATGTTCTTTTTTAAAGCC